CTCATCAGGATATTGAAATTCCTGATGAGATTGTAGAAATAATTTCGAAAGGTCATATGGCTCCTTATATGCTTGTTCCCCAAGAATATATTAATTTATACAATCTAAACATGAATCATCAGTTTGACTTTGTTGCACTTTCTTTGGTAAATGTGAGGATTATTAAACCCTAAAAGATTGTTATACATGATTGGAATATTTCATTCAAAATTTTCATCTTCTATGTACTTTGTTTACGTGCTACACGTTGTCATTCATAAATTTTATTAAAATATAAAAAAATAATTTAAAATAAGTAAAAAGTAATTTATGAATAAATGTTTCATAAATTTTATACATATACATTATTTTTATTACATGAATATATTTTTAATTTTCTATTTAAATTTTTGAATGATTTTGTAATTGAGGGTAGGGGTATAAAAAGGGCCCAGTTCGATCTGATCCTGTCACGGGCCTAACAAGCTCCTGACATTTTCAGACTGGACTAGTTTCCAAAAAATTAGGCCCAAGCCCAAGGGGTAATTAGGTCTTGGGTTGTGTTTCGGATGGGCCTGATAAATTTTTTTAATTACCAAATTAGTTTGAAAAGGGACGCTGAGCGTCGGTTGGGGCAGGCCTCAGATTGGGCATAGATCAAATCGGGCCAGAAAAAGGCATAGTCTAAGTCTTAACCCAGGAGTTTGGGGCAGGCCGCGGGTCACTTTTACATCCTAATTGAGAGAGTGATTGAATGAATGAAAGAAATTGTTCAACAACTTTTTAATGAAATGATTATAAAATATAAAAGTATTTTTAAAATATATATATATATATATATATATAACAACGGGTCCTATCAAATTAAATGTACTTTATATTAAATAATAGAATAAATATAGGACAATTACAGAAAGACTGTTTGATATTTTTCATAATATATGTAGGATTGGAACATATTAATCGTCATCGACCATGCAAAACTCTAGCACGCCCCGCACACATAAGAGGAATTGTGGGGGGCGGGAAAGAACAATTAAAATATTAAAAGGGAATAATTAATATAGGCAATGTTGGTGGCGTGCAAGAGCCGACACATAAGACAATGGTGTGAGACGTGGGCGATGACGTTAAGATTGATGATTTATGATCAATGATTCATTGACGACGATGTTTATGATTAATGACCATGTTTTTGCTGACCCTACTTGTTGCTCTATTTATCATGGATGTTATGTTTGGTGTATAATTTTATGTACAAACACAATTATTAATAAAATAGATTTACACGGATAACATTTTTTTTTTTTTCCAGTGATAGGATTTCTGCACCAGTTTATGTGTATTTCAATTAATTTTGAAATTTACGTAAAGTGTCTCCTTATTTAAATGGGGCGAATATTGGATACGCATTACAAAAAATTAAAGTTTTAGAGATTAAAATTTAGGAATAAAATTATTTTTTAGGAACTACATATTTTTGTTACAAAAAGTATCGTTATTATATTTTTAGTAACGAAAATTAGATATTAGTGATGAATGATTATCTTTTTGCGACCAAGTTTTTTGTCTAAAAAAATAAATCATTTTGAGACCAAATTATTTTGTCCTTAAAAGTCTATTTATGAGTGACATTTTTAAAATTTTGTCTTTAAAAGCTTTATTTTTGACTTTTCGGGACGACCTTTTAACGACTACTCTCACGACGATAGAAATTGGTCCCTAAATATCTTTTGTAACAAAATTTTTATTTTTAAAGACCAAAACATTTAGTTTCTAAAACTCTTATAACCCGTATACGTGGCCCAAGAAGTTGATAATACCTAATAAGAGTTAAACTTGATATTTGGAATGAGTACACCCTAAAGAGAGTCCTAAAATACACCCACTAAGTCAACTCCTTGAAGTTTACATGAGTAATATTAATATCTAATAATTATAATTATACCATAAATATATAAAAAGATGGTAAATATAGGATTACTTAGAGTCTGTCTCATGATAATGAGCATGAATGAGGTGAAGACTAGGAGCACCAACTTGATCACAAGTTTGAACAAATCAATACCGAATTAATTAATTCAATTAATGTCTTTGTGATTAAGCATGTCGTAAGTTTGGATCCTGATTTGGGTACAATATGATGCTGAATATGTTGCAGCAAATTGCTTAAAGGTTGCCGCAACAGTTTTGTACCAAATGATAACAACATTAATTTTTTTTCAAATTTTTTTATCAACGAAAGTCAGTTGTTAACTGTTAAATTAATACTTATGAGAGTCAACCTCCTTACCTTTACAAAGCATCAAGCATTTGTCTCATAATTTAACTTTCTATTAGATAGAGTTAAACTCATAATCTCCTTCTCGGGACTAAACCCTCAAGAGAGTAATAGTGATCAACACTTAGATTATATGTCACATTTAAGTTAGCCAAGTCTCTTTGCGTTGTTAATTATTATCTTAACTGTAGAATTAATTTAGAGTAAGAGTATTTTTAATATTTTATAATAACTTTATATATGAACAATCGAAAGGAGGCGGCTATCTCAATATTTGATAATAAAAATTACTCTACACATAGCTCCAGTTTCACGAGAGAAACCAAATAAATCTTGTATTTATTATTATTAATTTTTTACATGCTTGTGATTTATCTAATTTAGCGTCATCTCACCCCATCCTAACCCATTGTTAACGATTATAACGAATTCTACAATTCGAAAAATGATTGCTCTAAGGTTGTCACGTGATCATATTTATCACTAATCACATTTTATCATATATTTTCATCCATTCCACGAATCACAACACTAAAAACCAACAAATAACTTCTCCCAGAATCCATCCAATGACATATGTTCAATAAGCATCCACTGATTTTTTGAGGTACGAAATTTAGCCATTTAAGTGGCATTGAAACCCTGAGATAACATGCCCAACCCTATAATGTGAAATGGGCTTGTATATATGAACAAAATTAATCAATTGAATGAGGAGATAAAAGCTATGCTAAGGATTTCAAATAATTTATCAAATTTTTCACATAGGTGTGGGACCTATACACATGTGAGTTTTATAGGTCCCACACCTATATGAGAGGCTTGGTAAAAAATTTGATAAATTATTTGGTGTTCATAACATTTTTCGAGAGATAAAACCAGTTCTATTTATCTTCTTTTTTACAACTACATTAGTAAACTAATAAAGAGAACCATAAATACATGTGACAATGATATTTTAAAATTATTAAATAATTTTTCATAATACTTTATATTCCTAGGTTGGAGAGCTTCTTTATTAGCTGCATTAATTTGTTTGCATGGATCCTTGTTAATTACCATATTTCCATAACCATATCATTTGCAATCTTAGAAATCTCTAAGATTATTACTTCTATTGTGGTATGCATACCATGCGCGACAACGAAAGATGAAATAAAAAAAAAAAGTGAGACCAAGTTTGCTTATAATCATAAGAAATTAGAGATTAATTATGTGTACCAAGTTGATTAAGATTGCTTGAAATACCATTATCTATTATCTAACTGAATATGATTGTTGTCGGGAAAGAATTAAATGTTATATTTAATTATAACCTCACTCCAGCGATTTGCTATCTGAGAAAAGGGTTATAGACTTCAAGACTAAAATGCAAAAGGTTGCTATATACTTAGCAAGATTGTCAGAATTTTATTTGGAATTAAAATATGTGGATAATATTTATTCTGATTTACACCTTAAAATTTCATAGTAAAATTATTAAATTTTCATGGTTCGTAAGATTATTATTTGACAAAAACGTGATGTAATCAATTAGTTTGTTCTTGTTTACTTTCATCCTTTTATGAGCAGAAATTCCAAGGTTTAGCTTACAAGATTTCAAAACTTATATCTAAACATTTATGATATATATATATTAGCCATGGGCTCCATGGTACCGGAAAAAAAAATCCAAAATTTAGTTATGGAGTTAACTATTAATTTTTCCTATTTACCCTATTTTAGTGGAGATTGAAAAAAAAAATGGTGATATTTTTGGAATAAAAATGAAAATTACATGGTTTTAATTTTAAATTTAAACCAAATCAGAAGTTTTTTTCTAAATTTTTTATTTTATATAACTCAATATCTGACCCAATATACTGTCTAGTCTAGAAAATTAATCTTATCGTCCACTAACGGAGCCAAATCAAGTGTTGACATTATAATATAATAATATATAGATATGTAACAAAAATGCAACATTAATTAGGATTAACAACTAAAATTGTTCATCTTCCACTAGCTCTGCTACATCACCCCAATAGCTCAGTCAAATGAAAGAAATGCCATTTCAACCAGTGTGTAGACATGTTTAAAAAAAAAAGAAAAAAGAAAAAAGAAAAAGCCATGTGTACCTAGATGTACAGGTAATTTCCTGACACATTTCTTGATATGCATTTGGAATTAATGGTTTAATTTAATTTCAGGTTCTTTGAACACATAAATAGATTATATTATTGGAAATTTAATTATTTCTTAACTAATTTTTTAAAAACATTAAGCATTCAATGAAATGTAATTTATTTTATTTCAGTTAATCATGTAAAAGTACATTTCTAAAATCATTATGGCTAATTTTTTTATATTTTTTTTTTATCAAAAACCTTCATTTTTATAAATTTTCGTTCATTATATTTAATTCTTTTTGTTTCTAACAAAACTTTTATGGAAGAAAATAAAAATAATTTCAGAATAGTTTTGGATTGCTAAATTCAATATTAATGTTTTCTGGTAATACTGGTTTAATTGCTTTATGTTTATAGTGGATGTAAGGAGGATTTCACATTTGAAACGCCATTGATGTATTCAACAAAGATTTCATCCATTTTTACCGCCATACTCAGTATTTACTCCAGATTTGATCTATCTAAGTATCCATCCACTTTTCATTAATTTTCTTTTTCTTTCCCTTCACTCTAATGCCATGACAAAAATCAAAGTTCAAATTTTATGAATCAGAATCACTAATAACATAAACTCAAAAAGAAAATTTCCCCTTCATAGACTATCCTCAAAGATGTACAAAACATATATACAATAGAGAAATAGAAAGAAATTTATTAGTATAAATTCATAGCTTGAGACTAGCTAGTTGTAAGGGAATATAGATTATAGAAGGCTAACTTGAAGTCTTGTGTTGTGTCCTTTGTTAGTTGCCTAACAAGCTGCTGAAGGATGGGTGAAGGGACTATAGAAGTGATGCTTAGCTCCAATTGAAAAAGGACTTTTAGAAGAGTTTTCGCTGCCACCGGTGCTGCCGATCCGCTCGCAGGAGGGGCACATGGTGAGGGTGGCTGCCGGTAGCTGCATGTAAAACGGCGCCGCCACATTTGGTGCTTTCAGCTCTTGCAGCTCTTTCTGCAATCTTCTGTTCTCATCTTTCAGTTTTGCACAATAGTTCTTCAATGACTCACAGTCTATCTCAGTTTGCTTCAGTTTAGTCCTGTTAAAAACAAAACAAGAAAACAAAATACAATATTATGAGCTAATTCCTATTCAGATCAAACATATTGAACTTATATAGATTACCCTAGGGATAGTAGTACTATAAAGTAGAGGCAAAGATTCTAATTTTTCTACCATGATCTTATTGTGATTTTTTAACGGTCCATGATCTTAAAAACTAGATACCCAAAACAAAACTATTATTATGATTACTACTTTAGTTTTACGTCCTTCGATTATTGCAACAAAATCATGTAGAGAGAATAAGTGGGCTACCTGGCTCTCCTATTTTGGAACCAAACTTCCACTTGTCGGGGCCGTAGGTTCAGCTGTTTTGCCAAGGCCTGCTTTTGATTCTGATAATTCAATATAAGGGTACCAAATTCAGAAACAGTTCAATTCAACCACTATTCTAAGCTATAATAATTGTTACATAATATATATATATATATATATGTAGAGAATACAGATACAAATCAAAACCCATGTGAGATAAATCAAGAAAAAATAAAGAAAGATGGTAGATTCATACGGGGTTGAGAGTGGTGTGTTCTTTGAAGCTGTCTTCTAAGATCACAGACTGTTCTTTAGTAAGCCTAAGTTTCTTCCTTGCACTACCCTCTTCTTCTTGATCTTGATCTTGATCATCACTTACCTTTGAAGACACTTTCTCTACCTCCACCTCTTCATCTCTCTCCCTCTTCACACTAGAGTTAGAGTACGATGAAACCGCGCTAAGCGAAATTGTGGATTCGCCATGAACTTTACAGGCATCGATCTTGACAGATGTTTTGATTTTTTGTTCTTCTGATGATAATCCCAACGTAAGGCAGGGCAAAACATGATCGAATTTCAGCGACAAAAGTTTCTTATTGTGTTGATGATGATGATGATGATGAGAGTGAAGATGATTTTCAGGCGTAGTGATAGGGGCTGAGCCAAGAGTGAGGCCTGTGTTGCAAATATCTTCAGAAACCATTGTTGAAGATTGACCGATTGATGGAGAGTTGGGGCACACTAGAGTTGAAATATATGAGAGAGGGATTGTGTGGGAATAAATGGAGGAGAGAAAAAGAAGAGAATGAAGAATTTCTGGAAGAGTAAGAGTGGAGGGGCTGATTATTATTATTATTATTAATCAAAGGAAGGAATGAGTAGAGAAAACGAATCTAGACTGTTGAACTGTTCAATAATAAACCATCTCCCTTTGTCCTCTTGGGTTGACCAAGAGAAGCTCTATCTCTCTCTCTCAATGTATATGTTGCATAAATGCTATGTACTCATGATAGTACTTTGAAAGTATTTAAATTGATAAAATATATTCATTTTGTTAGAGAGAGAGAAAAAAAATGACCTACATATTTTAAAATTTTTATAATCGTAATATTATAAATTTAGAAATCTTCAATTTTATCCAAAAGCCTTAGATTCATTTCATATTTGGGCTCACATTTCATAAATTTAATTTTTACTATACAAATACAATACTAGTAATTTTTTTGAAATAACAACATTTATACTTTTACAAATATTTTTCCTAGTATGTAGCCGTATATAAATAAACCGATTTGTTATCAAATTTTGTTAGCATTAGATACAAAGACAATGAAATTTATATTGATTAATGAATAAAAATATATATGTGAGACTAATGTCTTTTTGTCTAGTAATAAAAAATAAAGTGAAAATTTACTTATATGTAACATTTTATTTATGTGTGCATATAGAATGGAATATATGACATAGGTGGAATCACATGTATAGGAAGTGGAGGGTATAGAACATATGAAGAGAATGATTCGTCACTTTTACTTTTCTTTTTCGCTCTTTTTCCTATTGTGAATTCCACTTATATGCATAGTCGGAGACAATACTACATCAACTTTTTCTTTCTTTGTAGTTTATGTTGCATGTAGCCCTTTTCTTTTTTTCTTTTTTCTTTTTTTTTTAACCTTTTTTTTATTTAGTGTTGTATTTTTGTGTACATTCTATAAATCTATAGAAAGGGTTCTGGGTTGGCAATCAGGGTCTCAATATCTCACATCTCCTATTTGCTGATGACATTGTAATCTTCTGCAACTCAGATTGAAATGAGATCATATGTATTAAAAGAATTCTCTGATGCTTCGAACTTGCCTCAAGCTTGAAAATTAACTTTCACAAATTAGTCATATGTGGGATTAGTATCGACGACAATGCTTTATAAACCAGGTGGCAACATTCTTTAATTGCAAAGTAAGCACTCTACCCATCCACTACCTCAAAATGCCACTTGGAGCCAACCCTAAGAGGGTTAAGACATGGGATCCTATCTTAGGGGTTGTTTGGGATGTTCTAAATAAGTGTACTTTTTGACTTTTTATGAAATTTGAGTTGAGTTTGAAGTGATGTGGTAGAGAGGTAATATGATTTAAATAAGATGATGTGACTTAAAAATGATAGTGACTTTTTGACTTTTTAGCCTTTTTAGGGATGCCAAACCTAACCTTAGACAAAATCAAGAAGAGACAATCATCTTGGAAGAGAAGGTACCTCTCATTTGGAGGTAGAATCACTCTAATAAAGTTAGTTCTCTCATCATTGCCTTTGTATTACATGTCTATATTCAAGATGCCAATCAAAGTAGCAAATTCAATTGACAAAATTTAGCGTTTATTTCTTTGGCGTGATAACAAGTGTCATGACCCAAACCTGCCCCTATAGGTTTGGCATCGTAACCGGCCAGTAATCCTTAGATTACCAAAGGCCTCTTAGCGGAATAACATGTAATTAGGGGCTGCAGAAGCAAATATACGAAATATACATAGTCTATAGAGCTGTGCACACATATATGAGATAGAAATTTTAAACCTTTTACAAATATACGTGACGTCATAATGTAGGTCTTGTGTCACATCCAATACAAAAGTAGCCAAAAGGGACTTAGCCCAATATACACATAACAGAAGACTTGTTTATATTTCAAAGAAGACAAGGTCTTAAACATATGCCATTTAGACTTGACTTGCTCACAAAAGAGAACCTCCTTGGAGGCACAATGGCTGACTGACAAAATAGAATCTTAGGCCATCAACTCTGGACCTGGTCACGTACCTGTTCACTTACATACATAATAACAAATAGTGAGCTGGTGCCCAGTGATTAACAAGAAAGTAAAGGGTTTTAATGAATGATGTCCATCACAGAGTCAGAAATCAGAGTTTATATCAAGAATAGGTTTTTATTAGAAACAGAGTCTTATGCATATTTAGATTTCAAATCAAAAATAGATTCATATACATGTTTAGTCGTCAAAGCAGAAACAGATTCATATAGGTAGTTGCATTCGTATTCAAAGTTCGTATATTTCTCATCATAGTATGTGGCACATCCATTAGCGTTAACAAATCTAATGACCCATAAAGGGATGGCCGTAAAGGGCATTCCGATGACTCATGTGCATAAAGATGTTTCTAATGACCCACAAAGGGACTGCCATAAAGGCATTTCGATGACCCATAAAGGGACGGCCAAAAGGTATTCCGATGACTCTTGTGCATAGAGACGTTTTCGATGGCCCATAATTGGGGCGACCATAAAGGCATTCTGATGATCCATAAAAAGGATGCATATCATATGATGCTAAGGGTGGTCGCTCGAGCGCAACTGCCTTCGCTTGAGTGGGGGTTCAAAAATAAGGGTGATCACTTGAGCGGTCTGCAAACTTGGCAAAAGTATTGGTTGTGTGAAATTCCCACTTGACAGTCGCTCGAGCGGAAGACTGAGTAAAAAGGTCCTCGCACAAGCGCCACTTTGGTTGCTCGAGCGTCCTGTAAAATTTTATAAAACTTCTAGGAGCTCGATTTTCATACTCGAGCTACACGTTCCTCGCTCAAGCAGACAGTGCGAATTCTGGAATTTCCAAAATTGTGTTTGAACTTCAAAGTTGATATTCCAAAGGTTCCAAACTCGTGTTTTAGGCACAAAAACATGGGAAAACTTTATAAAACATGAAAACATAGTTAATTTGGAACCAATTGCTCAAAATCATGAACCAAATTCCCAAAATCTAGCTTAAACCATGAAGTTGAAACCATGCAAGAAATGAACTCTTTAATCTCCTAGTAAAACTTGACCAAATGGTATGAAAAGTGTAGGAACACAAAAAACTTCTCAAATAAATGTGTGAGGGTTCCATGCATGTAGAGAATTTCATGGAATTCAAACTCAAATTGGTGATTCATGCTTGCATGTATACAATCATGCTCAATTCTTCCATAACCAAGATGATCCTAGCATATACCTTCTAAATTCATGCAAGTGGCCTCATAGCTTGGTGAATTCATTTCTTATATGGATTATCTATAAGAATTGAGTGTGGTTTCCATACCTAGAGTTAAATTCAAGTGCAATCCTAGCTCAAATCTTCAAGTCTCCTATAAATTCTCTACAAATTCTCCTTTCTCTCTCTAAGGTGTTGAGTTCTTCCTCGCCCTTCCTCAAAATCTCAGCCAAATCATGTATAAGTGAGGTCATAAGCTTAATGGGCCTATTTATATGGTATGATTAGCTTAGCCTTATCAAGGTTGGTTAAGGCTAATCAAGTGTGTATCAAATTAATCTAATTTAATCGTTCCAAATCAAAATCTAATTGAATCTACCATAATGTTCTAAAATTTTCAAATGACATGTATTCCAAGTCAATTTCATGATCGAATGCCGATAAGGCCGTCGATTCGCAAAATATAATAGAGTTTTAAACAAATATTCTTACAAATAATGCAATACATAGGCAATTAATGCAAACTTTCACTTTAATTACTTATTAAGCCTTCTTAATCATGGATTAAACGTTAATCATGGGTCGGGATTGTTACAGTCTTCCCCCCTGAAGAGTTTGGTCCTCCAAACTCGAATTACCTTTATTTTGGAAGAATGTCGGGGCTAGAGGGAATAAATCTGGGTATTTCTTCATCATATCTTATTTGATTTCCTAAGTTGCATAAGTCCCTCCATGGTTTTTCCAATCAATCTTGACTAACGAGATTTCTTTATTCCTTAGTCTTTTGATTCGGCGATTAATAATATGTATTGATCTCTTTTCATAGGTGTAGTTATCTTTCAAAAGCACATGCGTTGGTTCAATGACATGGAATGGATCTCTTAAATACTCTCGAAGCATAAATACGTGAAAAACATTATGCATATGCTCTATAGCCGGCGGCAAGGCTACACGATACATCACCGAATTGATTTTCTCAAGGATTTTCATATGACCCAACATATCTCGGTGCTAACTTGCCCTTAACACCAAACCGCGTTTGGCCCTTCATTAGAGTTACTTTGATAAACACGTGATCCCCGACTTCATATTCCCTGTCTTTTCTTTAGACATCAACATAACTCTTTTGGCGGCTTTGTGCAGTTTTCAGTCGCTATTGAATCAATTTCATCTTCTCAGTTGTTTCTTGCACAAATTCTGGTCCCAACAACGGTCTATCACCTACCTCAGCCCAGCAAATTGGTAATCGACATTTTCTACCATATAAAGTTTCATAAGGAGCCATGCTAATACTCGAATAGTAGTTATTGTTATACACAAATTCGGCCAATGGTAAGTAGGTTTCCCAATTGCCTTGAAAGTCTAGGGCATACATTCGTAACAAGTCTTTCAATGTTAGAATGGTCCGTTCATATTGGTCATCTGTCTGTGGGTAACAAGCAGTGCTTAGTCTCAATTCAGTTCCTAGAGCTTGCTGTAGACTCTGCCAGAATCTTGAAGTGAACTTAGGGTCTCTGTCAGATACAATAGATACTGGCACGCCATGTAATCTCACAATCTTATTAACATACAAGTTAGCCAGTTTATCCGCATTATGCAACGATTTAACGGGTAAGAAATGTGCGGATTTAGTTAGACAATCAACAATTACCCAGATAGAGTCCATACCTCGAGGAGAGCGAGGTAATCCCACAATGAAGTCCATTGTGATATGTTCCCATTTTCATTCTGATATAGGAAGTGGCTGTAACAATCTGGCAGGGCGTTGATGTTCAGTTTTAACCTGTTGGCAGTGTAAACATTTTGCCACAAAATCTGTAATATACTTTTTCATCCCATACCACTAGAAATTTTGTTTCAAGTCATGATACATCTTTGTATTCCCCGAATGCATGGCAAATTTAGAATTGTGGACTTCAATCA